CAAGCTGTTATTTAGGATGGGATATCATGCTATTGTGTAGCTTCTGTAAATCAAGACCTGTTTGATCATATTTCTTTCAATAAACATGTACTAAATTTTTGTGATAGTAGTACATGTAGTTGCAAGCTATCTTTTTTCCCCTGTAATTGTCAAGATTCAGGAACAGTGTGTAAAGGAGCATGTAAAATTCTAATCATGTAACTTTTTTTTCTAAATCAATCTCTGATAATATCCATTTCTAATGGAGCTCATAGTACTTTTTTATTTGAGGATTGCCTATATACAGCATAAGGTTTTCTACAAATGCTTTTTGGTCATTCTTAGGTTGAAATATGCCGTATCCTTACATAATTTGCTGTTTTGTGCATTACTTATTGTGTGCTAATATTTATATTAAAACAGAGCATGGAATTTCTATGCATGATTTTCTATAATTCCATTTCAGCTTTCTCACATTTTTCAATGAAACTTGGCATTCTAACATAATTATACTGTGCTTCAACTCTCTGGAAATTATTTCTGTTTGCAGATATTCTGCTTAACCTGGTCCTTTTTTCTTTTTCAATTATGAAGAACCCAGCTGAGAATCTACTTTTAGATAAATGTTCTTTATTGCTGCATTTGTTCAAGCTTGTAGTAGATGTGGTGCTGAGAGAGTGGTGACACCAAGTACAAACACTGCTGAAATGTTCTTGATAGTTTACTTTAGGCACTTAAAGATTAGTATATCTCTCTCAGAGCAAGTTTTTCATGCAGATTTGACCTTCAGTCTAGGATATAATATGTCTCTTAGTCATATGTTCACACTTTTTCCTGTCCTGCTCCTTAGTGCTCTGTTCCTAGTTGTCAGTATAGAAGTCATCCTTCTCATTTATTTCATAATCAAAATAAATTACTGAAATTCCACAAGCTTTGAGAAGGATAGATTAGCAAATAATTTGCAATTTTTTTTCTTACTTACATGAATTTTAAAGATTAGTTATAGTTCTTAGTTTTGGAATATGTTAACCTTGTTTAAAAAATTTTTATGAGTTTATTGGGTGAATTAAGTTAAAGGGTATGCTTATGTGTATGTGTATATAGCCTTATATGAGATCTATAAATAAAATCGACATTACAGTTTTCTAGTTTAAAATAGAGTCCTCTTCATCTTTTGGATGCTGGCCTTTTTTTTAAACCATTTTTGAAATAAGATTATATTTCTTTCCTTAAGGTAGGAAGATAGATACATTCAGTCCACACACATGCAAGCACTTCAAACCCCAAACCAAGAAAAATATTTGTCAACCAAATTTTCTTGGCATTTGTTTGAGTTCTGAGACATTTGAGTGACTAGGGTTCAAGAATGGCTCTTCTGGGTTAGACTGAGACCACTTCTGTTTTTAACTTCAGATACAGAGAAGCACAAGTAGAATAGGACAAGCATATGTGATGATCCTCAATGAGTATTCTTTCCTTGTTTTTACATTGAGGTGTTTCCTGAAATGGATATAGTTTTGGTATTTTGACTTAGTAGTAGTAGGTCTTCCTTTTGTGAACTCTTTTGAGCAATCCTCTCTTGAACTCCTGCTCATCATAACATCCTTTGGTGTCTTTGAGCCCTTGGTGTATAATCCATTGGTTGAGGAGACAGCTCCACTTACGTATTTTGAAGCCAGCTCCTTGTAGAAGGAGCAAGCTGCTCCTTGTAGCAGACGTCTTTGAGCCAATTCTGGGTAAGGATTGCATCTGAACAATGATGTTAGGAATAAGTAGGGACCCAAAAAGAAATGGAAGAAACAAGTGATGATTTGTCACCTGAAAATGCAGAGGTCAATATGTAATTTTTTGCAAACTCATGTAACATTGCCATCTATGTGATACAACTTATTTTTAAGAAAGGAAAAATAGGAATCAATTTATACTGTATATATAAGTTGATCTCTATAGTATGAAATCTTTTTAAATATATTTAAAAAATGAAATAAATATTCATGCAGATGTAACTGAAATAAAATAAAACACAATTACTGGGGATTGTTTTGCGAGACTAATTTTGTTGCTTTCTTTGGCCAAGATTTATTTCCCAGACAAAGGAAATGTGGTAGTAATTTATATGAATTTCTGTGGAGCATTTGGTACTGTCATATGACTGATCATTAGTTGAGATGAATTAGAAAAACAAACCCCCGAAATGTAAAATAGATTTTAAAAAACATCTCCAGTGGTGCAACACGAGGTTATAATATAAAGCTGGAGGGAGATTACTAGTTTCTTTAAGTGTGATTTTAAGGCCAGTAATGTTTCCTTTAATGAGCTTGGTGTACTCAATGAGAGCGTGTTAATGAAACTTGCTGATGATATGAAGAGGGTACTATAAAGGATTGTGATGTAGTTTTTCTATATGTATAAATGCTTGTATATATGTATAATGTATATACATGTATGTATGTGTGTGTAGATATAAAAATTCTTTGTGCTGAAGCTATGGGAAATGCAATATGTTGCTCAATATGGAATTATAATTCAGATCAGTCTTACAGCACAAGTCCTATATCCTTTCCTGAAACGGTGCTTTATCTCAAGTGTTTATGAAAGGGTTTACAGACTCCATTAACGAGCAGGTGAACTAATAATGAGCTAAGAAATTTCCATTTCAGACAAAGTATTTGAACAATTTGCAATTTGGGATGTCATATTTGTCTCCGTGCAATGCTTATATTTTTATGTAACTGCTTGTTATTGTGTTTAGTGCTTCTCATTTTTTCACATTTCACTATACGTTGACCAAAAGCATTAAAAGGAGATTGTGTCTCGGATGCTAAACATTTATAGGTGTAGGAAACGATGATCAATTAAGTACAGCTTGGAACAGGTATGAAATAATTGACTTCGTGTTGATCTTTCCTTACAGTCCTTCCTTGGGAAAGTGCTGCAATGTGTCTTGTAGTTACTTAGTTGCCTTAGTGGTCGAGTTTGAGCCTTTTAACATGTTTTTCCCTAATACCTCTGGGAGATGGATAACTAAGATGTTGATATAATAATGCAATATGTATACTGAGTGCAATTGTTTGAGAGGCAGCTTATGCTGTGGGGAAATATTGAACGGATCATGAAAGATGGCGACCATTAGTTTTTTCTTTCAGCTGTTAAAACTAGCTTTAGGGTGTATTCAGCTGTGATTTATGAAATTGTTTAGACTAACACCTTCTTTGATGATGTCTGTGATGTAGAAAAATATGCTGAAAAGTATAATGATAAATGCACTTTCTTTTCACTCTTGGCAACCTCCATCTTCACCAATTAAATTTTCAAGTATTGTAGTGAGTTCCGTTAAAGAGCAGGCAGATACATTACTAACAGAGCAACAGATGGAAGATGTCATAAGATGTCATGCTTTTCTTGAGTTTTCACACATTTAAGATTAGGGAATTATTTTAATTATGCTAAGTTAAATATTTACAACTTGATTTACATTAAAATACACTTTTGAGTATTATTTGCGTAGATTGTTTTGGTTGTAATATTAGAATGCGAAAGGTATTTGCTAATAAAAATAATTTTTCAGACTAATTTTTTCAGACTAATTTAGTAGTGGTGGCAATAAGAAAGCACTAGGAAGTGCTGGAGGAAGAATGTTGAGGCAAATACATGTAATGGGGACATGTCACGAGGAGAGACAATGATTCTTGTGATCTCGGGGGGGGAAAAAAACAAGTCATATGTGGAAAAAATATGTAAATGGCACATAGCTGACATGTTTAGAATGTTGCTCACCTAATAATGCATTATAAACTGGTTATATAAAAAGTAATGAAATACATTTATAATTCATGAGGAAATATGCATCACAAATTCCAATTAGCCTGCTCTTAATTCTAACTGCTGCACAATCGTAATACATTGTTGCAGCTTAAAAGTGCTGGAAGGATATGGGGCCTGGAACATTTTAAATGTTAAGAAATCAGAGTTGTAATCCCTTTCCTGTGTGCGAAACCTGGAATTTTTTTGGGGGGGGGTTGGGGGGGGAGGAGAGGTGGAGCAGGCAGGCATGGAGGGGAAGACTGTATCAATAAATAAAAAACAAAAATAAAAAGAGGCTGTACTGTTGACTTTTATAGGCATGTTAGTACACTGACTGTGGAGGGTAATACCATATGCAAAACTGAATGACAAAGAACCTGCTCTCTTGATAAAGGAAACTAAAACCCTGCATTCAGAAATCTGAAAGTAATTTTAGGAAATACTTGTGGGTTTTCTTTTTTGAGTGTGTATTCTCTCTGTTTTTTTTTTCCTCCCTGTTTTGGAGCTGGCAAGGTTATGATATGAACGACCACTGGGATTATTTTAAAACCAACATAGTTAGCACTGATCTAAGCTAAAAGTTGTATTTGTTCTGATCTATCCCACTTACTCTACTTTTCTTCCAAAATGCGATGTTCTCTGCGGCTCTGATTTTGCACTCTAACTTTTTTCTACTGAGAGATTAAAAGTCTTAATAGTGTTTTGTTGGCCCACACTCCTTTATCCTGAGCTTTCAAACGGGGAAACAAACCTCAGTGATAGGTCGTCTAAATCGGTAGTGTTCCAGGATTTCTGTGATAAAACAGGTTTTTGGAGAAGAGGTGGCTGGATTACCAGTATATATGCAGAATAAAACTTTGAACTGACCCCCGCTTCCTCAAAAAATAAAAATCTGTACCAAAAATAGGAGACTTAGATGAATATGGAAGAGTTGCTTCAAGCTTTTCCAAGGTTTATTAAGGCAAAAGAAAAGATGCGGTCATTTGTGGGACGTTTTTGTATTTTCTTCTCCCTTCCAAAAAAATAAATGTCATTTTGAGTGAATGATACTGTTTTATTTCTTCATGCTGGCATTGCTTTCTTTCCAGTTAGCCAATGGTACGTAATAGGTTGTTTTTGAGGTGGTATAAGTTGCCAGGGTTGAAAAGAAAATGCACAGCTTTGTAACTGACAGCATTTTTTCCCCCTCTGCTTATTTTTTTTTTTTCTTCCTGCAGGAGTGGCAGAACTCTATACAGAAGAATGCTGGCCTTGCCTTTATTGAGCTTGTCAATGAGGGAAGGTAAGTCACAATATTTGGTTTCTTCTCTGTTCCAGCTGAGGTGTGTGTGTCCTTAGAATATTTTTTATTTTTCTTGTATTGTTAATCATTAATGTAGTATTTTTGTGGTGTTGTGTGTGTGTGTGTGTGTATGTGTGTGAATTCCTTTGAGTTTTGTGAGCTGAAATTCACCTTCTATTCGTTTAAATATTAATTATGGCATTTTCCTGAATCTAGATGCCCTTTAGTGCTATTAAATGTTTCACTTATGAGCATGTCATGGATTTTTTTTTCCTCTCCTTGTGCACTGGTTAACATTGATACTATAATTTGTATTCAGCTAATCTCTTGAGGAGGGGAATTGATATTTAGAAGGCATTCTAACCAGGAATTGGAAGATAAACCTTTGTCTCAGAAATTAGATTCTGGTTTGGGCATTTGTTTTCTATCTACCTCATTAAAGTATAGCTCTTTCATTCTATTTTAAGATATTAAAATTTCTGGTAATGTTACCAATTTGGTTAAATGTTCTTTCAATAATGATATGTGGATTTTTTTTTTAACTGGGACTTAGAGAAAACGACAGAGCAGCTGATGAGGCCATGCTCTTTGACTTGTAGTGACTACTCAGAACCATCAATATTTTCTTCATTAGGAATCGATTGTTGAGTCAGACTAAGAGCAATATTTACTTTTCCTAAAGGATTTTTTGAAGATGTCTCAATGAGTTAGCTAAGAAGCATTATAAGAAAAGCCATTTTGTAAACCTAAATTCTGTTAGTAAGTAGGTCAAGCTAGTAAGCATCTCAATAGAAAATCAATTTTGCAGGATTAGGATAGTTACTGAATGAAAAATGGAAGTTTTTTTTCTTTCAAGACCATTACCGAAATATAGCACCTGAAGTAAAATATAAATATAAATATCTTTCTAGCATTTTAGGGCCACGAAAAATAGCTATTTGAGATTTTCCTTCTAAAATGTGTAGATATTGTCAAGGTATGCCAAAGTAATGACCATTTTAATGGTTGCATGGGGGTTTATGGTAGCGGAAACACCGTTCTGAGGCAGAAAAGAACATTCTGCTACTAATCTTGATCCCATGGGCCAAGGTAAAGTAACAAGGGTGTTCAGTTACAGTGTTAAGATCTGGCCTGTAGTTGTTTCCTATTATGCAAGCCTGCCCTGTCTTGACCTCACTTATAAAGTGAGGCCTGCTGTAAATTTGGCCCTTGATTAATGTTTTAATAGTGCAGATAATGCCAAAATCCCCCACACATGTAAACCACAATGGCAGGTTGGTCTGAGTGAGATGATGATCATTAACAAATCTGTTACCGAGGCTGAATTGCAAGCAGCATTTCCTCTAGCAGTTACTCTGCTTGTCCAGGTCAAGTTTTCAGAGTGCGTTCTGTCTGCAAAGATGTTGGGGATTGACCTTTTTTATTTTTATTTATTTATTTATTTATTTATTTTTGACAAACCTACACTTCCCATCATGGAGACGGATGAAATCGCTCCCCCACCTCCATCAACATCAATACTTTATGGGCTAGCCTTAGTAGAAAGGTTGTCTTGGGGACAGAGGAGCCCCTGAAGACCGAGAAGTGTGGTTTTGGTTAGCAGAAAATACCTAAGTAATTGTTACTTCACTTTGTGCCTGACTCATGCAGCAGAGCTGTTTCAGGAATAGGGAGTAGGGATCCAATTCTTAAACATGCCCCCTTATATCTAGGTCTTTTCCTCCACTGCTGTTTATAAGGTCATTTAAAGGTACTGCTGAATTGGTGATGCTTTAGAATTTCTCAACGTCTGCTAAAATGAAACCATTATCCCTCATATGGCATGAACTACATTCCAGAGCTACTTTTTTTTTCTGTTTTTATAGACTTCACATTATTTTCCTTGCATATGCACCTACACTGTGCTAAAACATTTCAAAATATATCTTTATTGTATTTGTTTTATGTTGTTTTGCCACAACATTATAATCTTACCAACTCCAAGAGCTCAAAGTTTTTAATTATAACTTTAAAAGGGAATGACACTGATGTGAACTTCAACTGCATAATCATATAATTTCTTAATTCTTAATTCTTTGACACGTATACTGTTTATAACCACATTGTCTTTTAGAAAGATTAGAGAGGACAATATTGACTTGAGTGAAGTAGTAAGAATATCTGTGGGTACCATAATGAGTGCACTATTGGATGAATAGGAAATCAAGGACTGGAAGAACTGCCTGGAAGTTGTGGACTCACAGAATTGCTACTGTCTCTTTTCCTAATAGAAGTAGGTTTAGTCATCCCATAAGCTTTGTAATGCACAATTTTATTCCTGATGTTTATTACTAATTTTTGGACTAGTTTTCAAGATACCATGTGATGTAGCTTCTTTTAATCCTAGAGTGTGTTCTAAATATTAGATGGCAAGGACAGCATGTTTCAAGAAGAGAAAAATAAAGAAGAAATCTAAATCTCTTCTTATAGATGCTTTCAAAAGTGTTTTTTTGTTTTGTTTTGTTTTTAACTTTTATGCGAAAGGTACGAATGTGCCTCTCAACCTCACACCAGGGGAAAGTTTTACATTTAGGCTTGCCATGTTTTGACTAGAATTCCCTGAGTAGAAATGTGAGCAGCAAGTCTGCCTCTGGGACTTACAAGGTCTCCTGTGTGTACTGCACTCAGGAGGTGCTTGGGCTGAATGCTTGTTTACAAGTCACCAATTCTCCCTGTGTAATTGCTGCAAGGAATTGATGTGCTGTGTACATGGTTGTGCCCAGGCTTCCCACATAGGTCAGGTTCACTGCAGATATGTGGCAGAATTGATTCCTATGTGCTCAGTCAATCCTGGAGTTTAAGAATGGGGAAAAAAAGCTCTCGGCAGGCGACTAGTATGGGGAAATACAGAACAGTAAACCCATCTGTATTGTATAAACACAGGTGAAGTCTTTTGAGGGCTAGGAGAAAGCTTTGTCCTTTAAGGAGGAAAAAGAAACACACACAAAAAAGCAGGCAAACAAAAAAGCTGTCCAGAGAAACAAGAAGGTACTGAATGTGTTAAGTGAAAAGCTGAAGTAGCAGGTATTAGAAAACAACATTTCTTTGTGTGAAAGGGAATGTGAACTTAAAAACCCACTATTTTGAATATGAATCTGTTTTTAATAAAAGTGAATAAATATTGTTCACTGTTACATTAATGTCTGGGAATACTTTGAAATCTGGTTACAAATTTGCCTGTACCCACTGCTTTCCAATGTACAGTGCCATGTGTGGAGCAGAGGTATAGACTGCAAAATATCTCCCTTAACCTGTTCAAATGCTGTCTGCTGCCATGCTCAATTTCAGTCTTTGTACTTGCCTTTTACCCTTGGGTTTGTGTTTAGGGCAGTCTTTGTTGGCACTTTGACCCAAGAGCTCATAGATCACGACACCAGCTTTGTTTAGTAAAGCTCTCCTTTGGGTGGGACTGCTTAGCTCTTGCTGCCAGTCCCTGCTTTTGATGGCTTCCAAACTGTCAGCACACCTATAAATGTCTTATCCTTCAGCTTGAAACTAAGCGTATTTCATCCTTATGCAGAAGACGGTCAAGTTATTATTCTGAACTGGGAAAAGCTTTTTTTTTATTTCCTCTGATGTAAAAACACATCTTTGTTAGACTGTTATTTCCTCTTTTCGACCAGTTAGCAAAAAACTCGTTGGCTCCGTGACGGTTAAAACTCTCTCCTGTCGCTTTGATTCATTAGCACATTTAGATGTGAAGCATCTCTTATGCTAGACCTTATTTTCTGTATCAGCCAGTGCACTAACAAACGTACTCGTGCCTGAGACCAGGCATGACAGTTATTATCCCCTTTGGGGTGATAATGGCTCTGGCATGGCAGGGGTTGAGGGATCAGTATCCTAAGCATGCTGCAGCAATCAGTCTTTCAGGATTCCAGTTGAAGAGCCTCTTGAACATGCTTGGCTTTAATTTTCTCCAACACACCGTTTTCTTTGTCATCCAGAGGTTTACATGATATGTTAAGTTGTATGTGTTTATGCGTCTGTAAGTGGGCGCTGTCAGACTAGTTGCTTTAAAAAAAAAAAAAAAATTCTTGCATAGCATAGTTTGGTGAAAAGAAAACCTCATTAAATTAACAGAATGTGTATATAATTTATATGCCATTGCCACCCCACTTTCAAATCAGGAATCAAAACAAGCAAACAAAACCCAAGCATTCACAAGGATATGCAGGGGAAGCAAAATGAATTAACTTGGCTTTTTCTGTGGCATTTTTCTTAAGGCTAGATCCTCTGTTGTCTAATAAAGAATGAAAACTAATAAAAATTCTACAATATCAAAGGATTCTCCTATTCTGGGTTTTAGTTGCTTTAAATAAATTTCATTTCCCCCTTTTTCTTTCTTTTTTCTTTTTTTTTTTTTTTAATTTATTTTTAAAGAACACTTTCAAGGAATCTTTTCTTTAACTGGATATATAACTTGACTGTAATGAACATTTTGGAGGAAGCTTGACCCTTCCATTAAAAAGACTGGTTGGAATTATCCATTGAATTAAAAAGTTGCTGGAGGAAGGAGAGAAGCAGACAGCTCACAAACAGGAGATTTTTAGAAAGTAAAAATATACCCAATAAATAAATAAAAGCCTTTCCATATATAAAGAGCGGTAACTGGTATTTCCCCAATACATAATATACAGTGGTATAAAAACAGTGATTCTATAATCAGGTATTGCTTTGGCATTTTTGTTAAAAGAACTGTGCTAAGACAGTTTCAGCATATGTCATCTGCTGTTTCGTATCTTAAATTGTATATATTACTCTTGACTGGTCATAAATGCAAATATTTTTTAACGCCAGATAGTTGGCAACCCAAGTAGTTGGCCAATTACTGCACACTCTCCTAAGAGCAAATGGAGGACAGATGTGGGCTGCCCCGTTCAATCGTCTTTCCCTCGCAAAGTGTCGTCACTCCCAAGGAATGAATGGTGGAGAATGCGTTGCCATGGGAGCAACTTCTG